AAAAAAAAAAAAAAAAAAAAAAAAAAAAAAACCTCAAAAAAAAACAACAAAAAATTCAAAAAAAAGAAAGAAAAAAAAAGAAACAAGGCTCATATTCAGAACCTCAAAGATGCTTCTTTTTGGGCTTTGTGTTCATCTCTTGCGATTCAAATTAGCTTTTTCTTTTTTGTAAGAGAGAGGATCTTTCTTCTTTCTCCGTCCACATATAATTGACTCTAGGGTTGTAGTGGGCAAGTAACAAGTGGGGATAATAAGCCATCCACCAAATCCAACCATCCCAGCTCTTCTCTAGACTAAACCCTTAACCAATGGGAATTGATTCAATTGAACATTGCCTGAATTGCTGTGAGGCTTGGTGGGATTCATTGGTTGCTCTAGCTTACTGAAACGGCGAGGAGCATTCCTTTTTTCCTTTTCTTTTTTCTTTTTTCTTTTGTTTTGTAATAACCAGTCCCCCTGCTAGGAGAGGTGATGAGAGCACTCCCTCCAAGCGAGCATCCTGGTTGCTCCAATCTATTGGTGGGGAGCCACACCTGCTCGAAAACGGGTCCAGCGTCCCAGTATACATCCTCCTCATTCTTCACTTGCACAGTTTGGAGTATGTGCGTGTTGAGTCTGCGTTGGAGCTGCTCTGTCCCTTCCCGCTCCATCTCCATCTCCGTCATTCTCATCCCTTCGTCTTGATCTTCACGGACCGCCATCCCGGCGGGTCCGTCACACTGGTATCAGAGCGGGAACGGTCCCCGCTCTCCGCCTAGCCTTGGGTAAGTTAGGGGAAGGATGGTAGGATGTGTCCGTGGGCGCTGGCTTGCCTTGCTTAGGTACTCCTGCTGGGTAGACTCTCTGAATTGCGCCTCTCGAAGATTGCATGAGCCTGGCGTCCGAAGTTCCCGTACGGCAAGGTTCGTCCGCCGCTTCCGCTTCCACTAGGGCTGAGGGGTTGGCCCAGCCTTAGGTACTCCTGCTGGGTAGACTCTCTGAATTGGGCCTCTGGAAGATTGCATGAGCCTGGCGTCCGAAGTTCCTGTACTGCAAGGTTCGTCCGCCGCTTCCGCTTCCACTAGGGCTGAGGGGTTGGCCCAGCCTTGGTGCTTGTCACTGCTGTCTGGTCCAAGCTGCCCTCAATACTGGTAGGGTGATGGTCCTTAGTGCTGGTCACACTGAGGTAGGATAGTAGGGCAAGGGGGTGCTCTGGGAGTATTCACGTGGGGATGGGTAGGGTAGGTGGCCTATCCTGTCCGGACAACCATTGGCTGCCACTGCCAGCAATCACCGCAGAGTCTGAAGACTCTGAACATACTGTGCCGACCTGCCAGCATTGATTACCCTCACCATTTGGGGATTAACTGAGCAGGTAATGGGATAAACCACAAGTGAACATATTTGGCATCAGTACTGCGGAATCACCTCTTCAGCCCTGATCAGGCCGCCAGATTGCAGGCCTCTCCTAGTGGCTCTGCATTATCGAAGAAACTTTGCCTTTTCGCTTCTGCATTTGTTGGCTGGGCATAGCCGAAATTGCAAACTCTTTTTTCTTTTTTTGGTCTCTCTCTCCCCTTTCTTTCTCTCTCCCGCCCTCTTTCAGTCCCTTGAGTCCAAGACTGTTCCTTGATGATTAACGCAACAGACATTTATACTGAACACTTGACCCTGCCTAGCATTCCTACATTGCTCAGTTATGTAATCAATCGTGACCTTACTTTGCGTTCGCGGCTGTACCTTGCGCACTGCGTGCATAAACGGGTGGGAACCTCGCTGCTTCACAACTGCTGACTGACCCTTGGATACATGTGTAAAAGAAAGCCGCAGCATCGGTCAATCCAGCAAGTCAAGTAAAATTGAAAGTAGATCTGGCTTGCCATTCCTACACTAGAACCTTCCGTCTGCAGCAAGGGATGCGAAAAATACTCTGGAGTGAGGGAGTTACAGATGGGAAAGCTACACTAGATTGAGAAAGTGAAGGATGCGAAAGCTACCCTAGAGTGAGGGAGTGAGGGATGGAAAACCTACAATAGAGTTCGTTTTACCATGGTTACGCCGGACCCGGTCTGGGCAAAGTGAGATGCCC